GCATTGCGCATAATTTGAATAGTTTCAGCATGTCTCTTAGCCAAAAACAGTTTATCACCTTTCTTTTTTTGAACAAACTCCATTCAATGGAAACTAGCTCATTATTTTTAGCTTGTTTCATTTATAAGCAGTTCATAATCTGCTCTTCAAGACTCGAAAAGCTGCTAGTGAATAATTGAACAATATCAAAACAAAATGGAAAACATACCACCATAAACACTGCCCTGGCATTGTGAGTACTTTTAGAAACAGCTTGTAATAATGAAAATTTATCTGTTTATCATAATGGAATTTCAGTAAGGCTGGGAGTTATGATTCATCAATATCACCGGGGGTCAGTTAGCATTCCGGCAATGTGTCCAGATTTTTAGAATTTTGTAGTTTAAAGTTATTAAGTTTCTGTTGATCTTAACAGCTGAACAAAGATTCAATTTAGCATTGAATTCAATTTTATGTTGCCTATATTTTTTATGGGCTGCTTTATTCATGTACAAAATGCATAGCTGAGCGATTCCATTTTTGTAATCATAATTGATGAATAGCTTGGGTTTTATTTATTTTCAGTAGCAGTGTAACCAACACTACTAGAGTATTTTTAATAGGTTACTAAATAAGCAAAGATGGGACTTACATCAGCAGATAATCCTGTGACAATTCTGCTTCACTACTCCCAGTCAAGCCTTAAGTGTTGGGAAATCAGTGCAAAAATATTTTTTATAACTTCTAAAATATTTAGCAACACTTTTCAGGCCCAGTAAAACATGTAAAGCCCTTGAGGTTTGATCTTGCAAGAATTTCCATGTGTACATAGCTATGCTTTCTGTAGACTCACTGCAGCCATTTATGTTTGGGCTTGAAGAATGAGATCTTACTGAAATGTGGATTGATATGGATCATGTCATCTAAATGCGAAATGCCAATGGTAGAATGTTAAATATCAGGACAGCACACAACACAACACTTAAGGGCATGAAGTTGATCGGCTGTTCAATTAAAAGTTCAGGAGCAGCTATCTGATTTGGAACTTGGCCAAGGCATCATGACTAATAAGCCAGTTTGTGTGACAAAGTGCCAAAGGAACTCGTGTAGCCATGTGTGGTCAAAATTTCTCCTTTGTGTAAATTAAGCCGTTTCCAAACATAACACTGCCACACATAAAATCTCATGCCAACATTTGGCAAAGCACCTCTTCTGTTCAAGCATTTGTGTTGGAGAAAGCTGGCTATATACAGCATCACGGCAGAGTTCTGAAAGCATTTATTCTGAATGCCCTCAGAAGCTGAATGCTGCTGCCCATTCTGTGATTGTCATTTAGCCTCTGCCCATTTACAGAACTGTCATGAAAGTCAAGGGGAGGGACTGATACCATGTCCGTGATATACTGTGAAAACTTTAAAAAGGCTTATTGTTGGTTGTTAAAATGATAGACGTTTTAGAACAGTAACTGTGGGATGAACTCAGCTTATGTTCTGCTTCCATCTGGCCTGCTACTGTTTTCTTGAGGACGATGGGAAACAGCACACGCTGTCCTGAGAGAGAAGCACCTCTCCTTCACCTGGACAGAATAGCGTTGAGACTCTTTGCCATACCTGTGTAATCCCAAAACAGACACAGAGCCCCTAGAACTGTCTGGGACCTGACGTGTGCCCTGGGTGTGCTCCTGCAGCCCTCAGGCCTGGTGTTGGCAGCGCTTGCTGCTCTAAGTAGGGCTGCTGATGTAACTGAAGGTTGTGCTCAGAGGTGAGCGGCCAGCACCACTCATCTCAAGTTTTCTTTCTCATGTAATAGCCCCGCCGTAAAGACTCAGGCTTCAGACATGTAAACCGAACAGGTTGGTAAATAGTACGGTGAAACCGAACGCTTATGATTGCTGTGATAGTGAAATAGCTCTGAAAGAGCTCCTGTGGTGCTGTGCTGCTCTGCATCCTGTTCCTGTTTGTGGTGCTGGCTCTGGGGAAAGCCACTTGGTTTTCCTCCTAGTAGTTTATGTGAAGGCATGCAGCACACAAGTATACTTGGCAATATAAAGGCTGTGGCTGAACCGGCAACATGCCTTCCTTTTACATTTTATTCTGTCTTTGGGATTTTTGCTTAGGACCTCTCCAGTGTTTTTGTGTTGTGAAGTTTTGTTTATAAAGTAGTAAGAGGGAAATCTAAACCTAGGTGTTTGGAATAAACCAAGACATTTTCTGGGATTCAGGAAAAAAAAAAAAAAAAAAAAAAAAAAAAAAGTACCGTAAGCTAAAAATTTATAAGAAATACACATATTATGGTCTGATGCAGTAAAGAACTTTAAGTGCCTTCACTTCAGGTGACTTCAGTGGTGCATAAATACAAAGTGTATTTCTTGCACCCTGCAGAATTCATTGAGCTTAGAAATTCCCCCACTGAAGCTCATAATGCCTGATGCCTATTTGAGATAGGTAAATTCTCTGTTTGTGTAATTATGTTCATGACATTGTTAGAGTTGCTAATGTTCTCACCTTTCAGTAGATTTTGAAGAATTAGCTGAGCTACAGCAGGTTATTAATAAAACATTGGCTTTGTAAACATCTTTAAAAGTAATTAGATTGAGGAATCATTTCTGCAGATCTTACTTTTACTTCTGAAAACAGCATTGGCAATACAGGAAACCATGACTGGCATTCTAAACCAGATCCCCCATTTGATCTCTCTAAGTTCAGAAGAACTTCTGCCTTAAAAACAGTAGGATTAGGCATTACATGTTGGCACATTTTTAATTTGGATGCATAAATTAGATGCCTGGGTGCCCAGTTAGGGTCTACCTCAAGACACCAATTTCACTTGAAAGCAGCGAAAGCTGCGAGTGCTCGGGGTCTTTGAAAACAAAGAGTCCAGGTAGTGACTCAGGTGCCTAGCTTAATCCACGCAGGTTTGAATAGTTTTATAGTTTACCTTATTTTAGATCGGCAGGTAATTTCAAATACTTTTCCCTTAAGTTAGTACAAAGAAGTCTTACAAAAAGTCCTGGGAGATGTTAAGAACAGACCTGTAATGCTTAGGATGTGCCTGTGCTTTTGTTCGTGTGTGGTTTGACACTGTGTGCGTGTGGTAGCTACAGTAGTTTGTGTTCTAACGTGGCTTAATAAATATTAACATGCATAATTTCATTGCGATATAATTAGCTCTTTATTGTCTTTGACTCACTTAAAGGCTCTAATTAAGGATATAGTAAACATGAGAACCTTTCCTAATGCTTTAGGCTTTATTTAGGTGCCTGAAGACTGTTAATGCTTCCTGTCAGGGCAGAAATACATTAACAAGTTTGGCTGATGCACTCAGGTGGGTTTTCATTTTTAGCAGGCGAGCGTACTGAATACAAATAGTATTTAAATTCAGCAAACTTTTAAAGTGAATTTGGATAGCATTTAATTACATTTGAGCTAGATAAACAAACATATTTTGAAAGAAAAAAATTAAAGGACATCGGTCATAATATATTTGTATGTTTTAACCTGTTTTTCTATTGCAAATTGGATTTCAGCCTTTTAATGACTCAGAAAATTTACAATGTTGCCAGCACCCTCAATATTCCATTACATTGCCTTTTAAAAAGTGGTGTGTGCTTGTTGAAACCTTGCGATGTATTAGCCATAGCAAAGAACTTCTGCTTTCTTAAGGGTATAAATACACATTTGCCAATATCCAATTAATTAACATCAGTTACAGGACTGTTTTCTTTACCATAAAACACTGCATCCTTTAATCTTATCATAAATAGTAGCATGTAATAGTAGTATCTCCTTCCACTGATTCCATTTCTTGTTAAAACCTGTTTGCTCTCTCTGACAAGCAATATTATGACACAGTATTTATCATTGTTGAGATCAGATAACACAAACATGAAAGAGTAACTGGTATCATTCAGCTCTGGAAAGCAGAGACTGCTGAATCAGAGTCCTCACTTCACTCACGTATTTTGTACACAATCCTGTGTTTGGCATTGATTTCAGTTTAATTTCCCTGATGACCATTCAGCAGATTTTTAAATGCTCTGCAGAATCTCACCAAAGAGAAGTGGTCAGCTCACACTTGCTAGAACTGCAGTTTCCCTGTAAACAGCCTTAGTACTAACACACGCCACATGCCGGACTGGTGCCACTGTACGTGATAAAAGCATCTGATCACTCCTGGCAATGAACACAAAGCCAGAGTGGGTCCCAAAGCAAAGAAACGCATTTGGGAGATCCGTGCAAACCTTTACTCCACTTTGGCATTCCCTCCTTCAAAATAGATTTGGCTTTCCAAGGAAGAGCCACGTGAAGGAGAGCGGGAGTCAAGGTTAAAGCCATCACGTCCAAGGCATGGGTATGTTTTTGTCAGGGAAAGGCATTTTCTGCTGTGGTGGTGTGGTTCAGTAGGATCAGGAGGCGAGATTTCTACCTGAAACGTTGAAGTCACTTGGACATGTGCTTGAAATTCATTCTACAAAGTCATTCCAGGGCTTAGCAAAATCAATTCTCATCCCATGTTGGGAGGGCAGAATAGAAATCCATCACCTTAAAGCACAACACATTGTGCAAATCAACGGCTTCAGTGTGACATGAAATCTTTGCAGATTTTGCAAAGCAAGTGCTATGTCTTTTCCCTTATTGTTTGTCCTTCACTTGACATACAGGAAGAGATGCATCAAGAAGATGGCAAGAGACATGTGTCACTTAAAGCATGCCATAACACTGTTTGCCCTGGAATGCTCCCTTGAATCTGTTTGAACAAGCAGGCACAATAAACGGATAAATACCCACCAAACTTCACCTAGTTACAAAGTTGACAGAGCCCCTTTTCCGTCCTCCCCCTTGCACAGCGCTAGCCCCTCCAGCCCCGGCTCCGAGTGCCCCGCTGGTGCTGCACCCCTTCACTTGTTGCACGGTGCCCAGGTGCCACCTCCCCTGCTCAGCCCGCGGAAACTTCCCGGGAGCCCGTTTCGGGGGAGCCCGTTCCGAGGGCTGCTGCTCTCCAGCCTGCTTGCAGCCTCTTACCTGCATGTGTCCCTGGTACATTCTGCTTCAGGTGCCCCTCAGGCCGACAGCTCGGGTGTCCGCTGCGATGGGGGCACTTCCCCCGGGGCGCGCTCGGCTGAAAGAAGGGGGAAAAAAAAAAAAAAAAAGAAAAAAAGCCTAACCCTGGAAAGAGCTATTTTTGCCAAAGCTCCACTTTGTCCTGGAAGCTCCCTTCCCTCTTCTCCGTCACCCAGCGCTGCGGGCCGCCTCCTCCCCTCCTCTCCTCTCCTCTCCCTCCTGCCTCTCTCCCGGGCTCTCCCCGCTCCGCCGCCCTTTAACGCGGAGCCGCCCCGGAGCTGTCCCCGCGCCCGGTGCTGGGGGGAGGCGGCGCGGCCCGAGGCGGCGGCGGCTGCGGGGCCGCCGGGCGGGGAGCGCCGCGGGGCGGAGCGGGGCCGGGCCGGGAGGAGCCGAGCGGGGCCGGGTCGGGTCGGGAGGAGCCGGGAGGAGCCCAGCGGAGCCCAGCCTCGTCCCGCCGCCGCCGCCTCCCCCCCGGCCGCAGGGGGAGCGCCGCAAGTCGGGGCCGTGCGGAGCACCCCCCCCCCCCGAGCATCGGGGCCGCCGGGAGGCCGGGGAAACGCGGCCCCGCTGGGGCCTGATGGCTTCCGCTGCAGCAATTAAAGAAATAAACTAAAAGAGTGTGGGGATGGTGAAAATACAAATAAATCGGAGCGGGCTGGAGGCAGAGCACGGGGAAAGCCGGAGCCGGCGCACGGAGCCTCCCGAGTTTTGCTGCCTCGCCTGGCAGGAGGCTGCGCCCCGCTGCTGCGGCTGCGACCGGGCTGGAGGCGGCTGCCCGCCGGTGCCGCCGGGAAACTTCAGCAGCCCCGAGCCCGAGGGACGCAAGGGACGAATTTATGTTCCTATTAGCACTGGAGGCTGCTGGTGTGCTGGGGCCAGGCCCTGCACCGAGCGCCACGTAGGGAAGGTAAAGGTGACCCCGTGTGCTCCACGCAGAACATCCGGATGCTCGTGTTCCAGCCTGACGCTATTGCAAAATGTAAAGACAAAAAGAAGGCAGCTAAACCTATGTCAAGTGCATGGCAATGTTTTTCTGTGCTTACTAAAGATACCACCAGAATAGAAAGCAATTGGGTAATGGCCCGGGCATGCAAAATTCTCACCTTGTAATGAGCACAACAGGCCTGTGAAGTCCTGCAGGTGCCACCTGCGTTGTCTTGGATCCAGCCTTGCCCACCTCAAACCTTAAACTTCTGATCTGCTGAAGGGTTTGCTTCACTGTGAATTAATGTCCTGCCTAGTGTATCTATGTTCAGTAGTACAGGAAGCATCCTGTGCCTTGCATTTGCTATATTGCATAATTTCTTGGCTCTGAGCTCACAAGTTTTACTGTTAAACTACACAAAACTTTATGGGCTGACCAGAGCAATCCAACCTCAAGCATGTTCCAGTACTAGAGCAATGCAAAACAGATTTCTCATCCCTGAACATTTGTATCATCACAGACCTCATTTTAGCTAACTGAATATGCCTCTTTGAAGTGTTCCTATTCAGTAAAAAGAGGGGGGCTGCAGAACATGAGTCGGTAAAGTTGTCAGTGATGGCACCACCAAAATCTAGCTGTTAATTTTTTTCTTTCACTTAAACTTGGGCATTTTATCTTTTAGGTAGTAAAAGTGACAGTTGTCTTCTTACATCCAATGAATATGCATCCAACTCACTGTGATTTTCAGAGCAGTTTAAGAGTTTAGCCACATATTGGTGACAAATAGAAATACAAAATGAACTATTTTTTTTTGCCTACATTCCTTAAGTCACTTTGAGAACCTCAGTTAAGAGCTGATGAGCTTAAAATACTTCTTTGGCATTGTCCATACGTGTTAGGCATACTTTACTGTGAAATACCACTGCATAATGCAGTTGACTGTACTTACATAGATGGAAAGATCAGATTTGAGTTATCATGGTTTTACTTGAAGTGTAAAATATGGAGTACTGATTTTATGGAGAGAGATACGTGGCTACCTTTTTGCTCAATTTAGAAGAAAATTCATGTATAGATGAAAAATAGCCACTCCTATTTAAACTTAGAGCCTTGGTGTCTGCTGTTTATTGGACAGACATGTATTAGGCTAACAAATTTTCAGTAGTCTTGAACTTGCACTCTTGGTCTGGTTGCACCGTCCTTTCCTGGGCTAGTGTGCAAGTTTTCTGTGATTTTTTCTTTCTTTCCTTTCTTCCTTCCTTGTACAGAGCTTTTGTTTGTTTGTTTTTGCTTTTGTTTTGTTGTCATTGTTTATTTTCTTTTTGTTGTTTGCTTGCATTTTTTCATCAGGTGGAAGCTGGGGTAAATTTGTCAATTCCAGTATATAGTAATATATATATATACATATATATATATTAACCTAAATATATAGACAGTGATTTAAAATTTTCTTACATGTTAGAAGGAACTACGCTTATACTGCAAGAATTGTTAACCCAGTAGTTATTATTCATGCCATGTTATTTCCAGATGAGAGACAAAGACTGTTAGAATTTGGCAAGACAAAAACGCTAGATATTAAATTTTACAGGATAGTGTGTTTTGGAGTAGACATTTTTTCTTAATTCACCAGAAGCAGAGGCATCAGTTTCCCAGTTTGTTGATATAGTGGCATAATGATGCCACATTTCAGCAGGATCTGGCAGATCCAGGACAGCCAAGTAGATCCAGCTTTTACCTTTTGCCTTATCAGGGAGCTAAATCACTTGGCACTGGTCAGTAAGAGGAGCAGGCTGGCAGGCAGCAGGCAGTGCAGTGCAGAGACAGAGGGAGATGCATGCATAGATAGCTGGGTGGCAGCGGTTTCTTCTTGAGGAGCTGTTCTTTAAATATCTTCCAGTGCAAATCACACACATGCACACACTGTGCTGTGCTTCCCCAAGTGTAAACTCTGCCGCTGCTCCAGCTATTTACTAGAGGAAGCTTCAGCAAGCTTGTTTCTCTCTCCATCTAATCGGTGAATAATGTTTATTGCTTGGTTATAAATAAAATCTCAGAAATGTGCTCTGGGGGGTGGGGCAGAAAGTATTAGTGTGCAGTTCTGAAGCATTAATATAAAGGCATGCTATTTACAGCTTTAAAAAAGGTGAGTGCCAGCATCCATGCTGTTTATGACTCTGCTCTACACGTGACTGCAAAGGTCTATTTTGTTATAGGGCGTGTTTAATCACACAGAGTCCACTTGCCTAAAATGGTTTAAAAACATTTCCTTGATTCTGTGAAAAGCATTTTTCTGTTGTGGTCCCTTTTATGGCAGTCTGTGTGCCTGCATTAGGACTTGAACCAGTGATGTCTGCGTGCTGTGAGCTCTCAGAGCTTTGCTGTTTGTTATGGCAAAAATGGGAAAAATCACAGTAAAAAATATGAAAGTCATAATGTTTGTTAAGAAAAAGAAGAGTCACCATATGGCTCAACAGATTTTAATTAATATTAAATTGCCAGGGAAAAATTTGCAAAAAGTCAAATAAAAATCATTTATTTTACAAATAAATGCTTGGAATTTGTTTCCAAATACTTTTATGGGGAAATTAGGGTAACCAAGAAGCTTAGAGATGGCAATGGGAGTGCAAGGACATTTTCAGAGGTACAGAAGTGCACAAGGTGTTTCTGGAGGTCTGGTAGCTACCTAGTTACTGTCCAAAATTTGACAATTAACTCCCACTGGGAGGCCTGTTGATTTTCAATAGCAATGGATATTTCATTCCTTTAGGCTTTACTAATATTTATGTCATCTTGGCAATATAAGAAATAGTTTTAAATCACTGGCTCTGAAACTGCCCAAGGAGAAGCATATAGCCTCCAAATTAATAACAGTTAGCATACTATTTGGCATTAATAAAGTGTCTGGAATGGCAAAGTCTGTGTTTTCTATGCCAAGAAACCACATGGCAAGGGCAAGTCATGATTTTTGTTAGGGAAATCATTAAATGATAAACAGACCTGCACATTCCAAGTCAGAAAATCAGATATATACTCGATGTGAAACCCACTTCTGTGCACTTCCCTAATAGGGGTGCTTTTCTCAGTGTGGGACACAGTTTGAAAGAGGATGAGTTTTCATAGCTGTAAGTTGTGCACGATAAAAAGTGCTCAGTGGAAGAGATTTAAATGGAAATTGAGGGCAGCGTTCAGTGACATTGGAGGCAGCTATTGCCGTGCTGTTTTCCTGCTGCCTCAGAAGCAACAGAGCACTTTGGGGGACTCGGACCTCTGCGTGCACCATGGGTTGTGTTCTTCATCACTCTGCTGTGCTTCCTGTGTCCCTCCAAATCTCTTTTGTTTCTCATGTATGACAATAGTTTGTGTTGCCAGCATCCAACAATAATGTGTTTGATCATAAAGATATAGATTTGCTGCTTTGTTCGACAGTCGATCAATGTTCTCGTGCATATATTTTATATAAAACATCAGTCTATTAGCTCATGCAACCCTGGAGATAAGTAATTTGCATACATGGAAACTCCTTGGGTTAGTTTAGGCCTAATGTCTGTATTTTATTAAGAAAGACATATTTACAAACATTAATACTAATAAATATTTTCATAAATAATATTTTCTGCTAACTGGAAATAGTTGGCCTAATTTCTGAAAACATGATTAAAAATTAACTACTGAAAATAACCTAGCTTATTCTTAGACGCAAGTGAGATGCAAAAAAACATAAAATTAAGCTCAGTTGTTAATGCATTAAGTCTTAAATTTTATTAATAACATAACATTAAGAATTTGTAATATTATTAGTATGACTGAGTCTAATTACACTTTATACTTTGTTTTCTAATTGCAGTTGTAAGGTATGAACAGCACAACCACACATCAAGGAAAGTACTAATTAATTATATTTGTGTATGTGTAATTTACACATTGCTTTTATACGCTAACATGATTGATATGTGTTTAGGGAATGCCTGTGAAGGAGATGTTTGAGTGTTTATACACTGTAATGAATAATAAATTTGAGCAAAACACAATCCAAAATTAATTTTAAAAATCTAAAAGTTTTGTTAATGATGCATATAAAACATTTAATTAACAAGACTCGGTGTAAAAACCACAAGTCAGTAACAAATAAAGATTAAATTGTAACTAGGCTGAGTGGAATACTAACAGGATAATTCTTTATGCTCTTGGGCTCACACCAGCTTTGTTCGCCTGTAACTCTGTCAGTAAATACCAACCTAGAACTTGTCAGCAGAATGAAGAGAAATATGGCGTTATTCCAGGTTATGACCAGCATAATTACTAACTCTGCAGTCCTATTTCAGTTGAATATCCTGTTGTTGTTACCCAAATTTATGTACAGCAAGCATGGGGTAAGTGCCACACACTGCATCGTGCATACAGGCCGTGCCATACTGTGGGGCAAAGCCTACACCACTCGTGCCTGTACAGCAGGG